TGTTTGCCACAATATGAATGGCAAAGTACAGGGCATAAAATAATAACTGTCGCACAGTTTTTTTGAAAAATAATAGGGTTCTTTATAGATTTTGTTAAGCAAAGTATTTTTTTGCTAACTTTGTAAATATTTTACTTTAATTTTATTAATTGGTTTTAAAATTTTNATTACTAAATAGTGTTTGCCACAATATGAATGGCAAAGTACAGGGCATAAAATAATAACTGTCGCACAGTTTTTTTGAAAAATAATAGGGTTCTTTATAGATTTTGTTAAGCAAAGTATTTTTTTGCTAACTTTGTAAATATTTTACTTTAATTTTATTAATTGGTTTTAAAATTTTAATCCTTATTTGCATTTTCCAGCTTTGGGAGATAAGTACATGCGGCTCACACCTCTTTTTCGGGTGTATTTTTTCTTAGATTGTGTATAAAGAAAAAAAAATGTATAGGGTTGGTCGAATGAATTCCCTCCTAGTGGGAGGAAATTAGCCTATGGTTACAGAAGATATGTAATAAAGTAACTGACGAAGACTTGCGTGCCGCTTTCGCTTTTCTCCCCAACCTCCTGGTAAACCCAATGAAGGTTAAATTTAAAAACTATACAATAAGGACTTTTTTTACTTGCGCTTTTCTCTCAAAGTAAACCCAAATGGACGTTAAAATTTAAAAACAAATTAATAAAATTGAAGTAAAATCTGTGGATAATTAACAATGAACTACTTTTTTCGCAAAATCTATAAAGGCCAATTTTATTTAAAAAAAAAACTGAGCAACAGTTATTATTTTACACCCTGTATATGATAAAATATTAATAGCTGGAAAAGGAGTAGAAAAGAAGTACAAAACTAATAAAGGAGTACATTTCCAGATATTTTTTTTGGGAGTACATGGGAGTACATTGCAATAAAAAGGAGTACGTTTACTCCCAAAAGCAGTACGTCTGGCAACCCTAATCACGAACAAATCGTTGTCTTTTCTAGTTTTTATCGATAACGTTGAAAAAATAGCTAGATTTGTTAAAAGTATTGATTTAAGGCCGGTTGTTCAATGTCTGATTAGCACAAATCGGAGGTAGAAGCTCCGGTTAAGCACAACTACTGCTTTATCGATCACATGATATATGCATGATGTCAAAAACGTCGATAATGGTGTTTAACCGGGAAGTAGTGATAACCATACATTGAACAACTGGCCCTAAACAATAAACAAAAGCAAAGAACAAGAAGCAGAGATGCAAAGTGAATCATGATTCAATAATACAAGGTTAGATAATTATTGACAGCTGCGGTTTGACACTCCCTTACAAAAGGTTGCATTTACGAAGGACAGAGAAAGGGCAAGAATGCAATCCCTTGTTGCGAAAATGGTAGTAGAAAAGTACTAAAAGTGGCAATTAATAGTGAAATTCCTTTCGTAAATTCTAATGTATTTGCAGGAAATCTGGAATTTTAAACGAAATGTTGAACGTAATATTGATATATCTACGTGAATTACGTAATTTATATGCTATTTAGCCGTATAAAAACTGCGAAATGCCTCAAAAATAAAATAAGACTACTATGAGATTGATGTAAACATCCAATGCTTACGTTTTCATCAGTTAAATATGCTTCATATGCATATACAAATAAACATATTGCACAAAAGCTTATACTTTTATTTCACACCAAAGCTACACTGTTTCCATGTAAATTTGCAAAGAAGCAACACGGTGCCACTGCTAAGGGAGCGGTGCGAGAGAGACAACTGTCAGTTTATCGAACCTTGTATTATTGAATCATGATATGAATCAAGAATGTGTCGTTTAAGTAGGTTGATTCGCCGTTCGTAATTGAGAGAGCGAGCCACGTGATTCGTTTTTCATAGAAACACCGTACAAGCTTCGGCCGCATCGAGTTCGGTTGAGGTCAATCCGTAGTCACCCTCACTCGGGAACGATCAATAAACCTCAACATCTAAGCCGTTGTTATTTTCAATCTCATAAATCAATCAATTAAAACATTGGTATTGGTGACCGAGGCATGTGGCCATGATTCCACTGGCATTGACAAAAACGATGGACCAGAGAACCAGCGCGAAAATGGATCAATAGGGGTATTCCTTTAGACTCATAATAGCCTCGTAAACCTCGTTAAGTAAAGGTGAAATTAGTCAAGAACGTGAACCTACCGATACGTAAACCCGAGTCAGCTGAAACGTAGCGCAGAAATCTGCGGAATTTAGATTTTTCCGTGTCAGCTGATTTCTTCCTTCTTCACTTCGTCAGTTTTACAGATGGTAAAAGAGTTATAAGTTCCTATTCAAAATACGATTAAAATATTTGAAGTTTACTATCGAATAAGGTTTTTTTGTTGAAAAATAAGTAGTTTATATTTAGCTAGCATCTATTATAGCACGAAAAATTGTAGTTGAAAAGGTAAGTTTATGAAAAGGTTTTGATGAGTGGAAACACTGTAGTAAGCAACACTGAGGGCTCCAGTAATCGAAAAAATTCTGCGTATACAGACAGCGTTTAAGTGTAAGTTCTGCGTTCTTTTCTTATTTCACCTTTACGAGCCTCGTAAAAGAACTGTCAAAATTTGTATGGAGCTCTATTTACAAGCCCCTCATAAAATTACCAGGCAAATTTGATCCGCAAACGACCTCGTAAACTTCACTGTTGTCGAGGAGCCGAAATTTGTATACTAAAATGTATCATAAAATAATGAAAATAAATAAAAATAATAATAAGGGAATAAAATGAATGAATGAATATTTTCGTTTCCTAATCGTTGTGCACGAAATAAACGAAATTGTTTGTTTACATTTGATGGGGAAAAATTAGTGATAAAGTTAATTTCCTTTTTGGTTGTTGTTGTTTCCGACAGGGTGGGTGTATTATGGAACGAATTTCCGTCATCCCTTGTCAAATTTGTTTTGGAGACAAACCGGTTTCGGCGTTGTGCCATCTTCAGTGTCATTTTTCGTTCTGCATAATTTTTGTTGGTTGCTCGTATTTATACTCCTTGTTAACTACCTCTTTCTTTTGTTAGGTACGTCTTTTTAGTTTTGCAGTGTTTGCGGTACTCAATAGGTAGATGAATTGTTTTGGCTCGTTTTTGACGGCAGGTAGAAGTCCGTGATTTTTACCCCCTTTGTTTTTGCAGTTGGTGTATTCCCTTCCATATCTTTAGAGGTTCAAACAGTACGTCCGATACAGTACTTATTTGCTCATTTATTATTTGTCCTTTGAAGGTCTTCTGTTTATATATTTCCATATTTTCTAATATATTCAATCTTTGTCCTTTATGTTGTACACGGAGAAGTTCTGTTGTTTGTCCAATCTTCATTGGTGTGCATTTATTTTTGATCATGTGATTCGCGAAGTTCGATTCTATTGCAGCCTCTGGTTTTCGTTTTTTCTTATTATAATCCCTTATGTGTTCTCGATACCTTGTTCTTATATTTCGCCCTGTTTGTCCTATGTAACTGTGTCGGCACTCACAGGTTAACTTGTAAACACCCTGTTTATCTAGCGGGTCTTCCTCGCTTATTTTCTCTTTCAATATATTTCCCACTGTGTTCCTTGTTTTAAATGATGTCTGAATGTCGTACTTATGAAAGAATTTGGCAAGTTTGTAAGATGTCTTTCCTGTGTAAGTTAGAGCTGCCCAAATGTTTTTTTATTGTTTTCCTCTTTGCTAGTCTTTTTCGATTTTGTGTCCTTTCTTAACTTCTCCACCAGGCCTCTCCTATATCCGTTATTTTCCGCAATGGCATATATTGTATCCAGTTCCTTCTTGTAGCATTCTTCTGTTAGAGGCGTCCTTTCAAGCCTCGTTATTAGTTGTCTGTTCCATGATATTAATATTTGCATTAAAAATGCATAAAAATCAGTATTTTTTGTAGAACTTATTAAAAAGTGGATAATTGCAATGAATTTTTATTTGCTACAAAATATGTCGAAATTGTAAAAAGCATTCACAAAACACATTTCAGGAAAAGAAAAGAAGAGGCATTACTGTAAAATTATGCCTAGATTTGTTGCAGCACAGCCCATATTTTAAAAATTGCAGGTTTTTGTAAATATTTCGCGAAAATATCAACCAGAAAAACAGAAAATACCTGCTCTAAGTGAATTTTTAGACGCCAAATAAATTGAAATATCACGGCCGAGTGTGCGAAAGTGTAGTCGTCATGTAATCGTTGCATCATGATTGTTGTTACGTTTATACGCATGCATTATTTGCAAATAACAATTTCCAAAATGGTAAACTTTACCGTATAAACACTGAGTTAATTTTTTATTTGCAAATAACTAAATCACGCAAATAAGTATTGATTGGTGGTACTATTTGCAAATAAGCGCAAGACGCTGCCATTCTTAGGTTAATTTTCCTTTTCGATGGTCATCTTATTTCCTTTTTATAATCAAGACGTTACCATTTTTAACTTTATTTTCCTTTTTTGATGGTCATATTATTGCCTTTTTATAATCAGGCAATATTAAAAAAGAGTTTTTCACCATCGAATAAACAGTGAGTTAGGTATTTGCAAATTATTTGTATTTCCAAATAGCTTATGCAACGTTTTTGCTGCATTTAAAATGCAACATTTAGCACTTTCCAACATATGCTTTCGAAGAGCGTTCATGCTATCGCGGTTAGCAAATGTACATTTACGCGAGTTCGAAATCGTATTGTGGCGAATACTGCGGCAACACAAAGCGAACAGGAGAAATAGGCAGAATGTTCGAGGAATGACGTAGAATGTTCCACAAAGAGAAACGTCAAGTTGGATGAACACTGCGAACAGCGAGAGAAAGAGAATGAGCGACAAACTTCAGAAAGTTCCAGAGTTGCCATAAGTGCCAGCGCAGGTATATAAGGGCAAGCTACAAGTAAAGTGAGCAGAGAAGCGAGTTGCGAATAAGCAAGCTTTAAGTTTAATTGTGTGTAACAAGTTCGGTAAAGCGTTGTAATTGCTTTAACAAGTATTGTAGTGTTTTTACTGTATTAGCAAGTATTGTAAATGCGTATTACGTTTGTTCAATACCTATTTAATTTTTGTGCGCCGCCTACAAAAGGAATACCACTTAGAACCAGCTGGCAGTCAAGGTGTTTGGTCACTGGATGATTTTCAATTTGTGCCATTCATTTGGGGCAGCGCTCAATTAGCATGTAAGTTGTTTCAAAGCAATATGAAGAGGTAAATAATTGAATATCAAATTTTTTGCAGTCAATAGCCCATTTGAACCGGTGCGCTTCTTAGACGATGATATTATCAACGAGTACAAAGACGAATATTTGTTTATTGGTTGTATCGATTATATCAACCAAGTAAAAACGGGACATTTTGCAGAGCACTCAAATCAGTTGTGGAGTATTTCGGCAGTACCAACATGGTCGAAAATAAACAGCGGATTGATTAAGATGTACCAGAAGGAGGTATGCATTTAGTTAGATATGTACCCATGTACAGATGTGTATTAAAACATAACCGCCAAAACATACTATATATTTTTATTTTCCTATAGATATTGTCTAAATATCCCATAATGCAGCATGCACTATTTGGTAAATTGCTCCGTTTTGAACCTGTAAAACCCGGTACGACTTTGCCTGTAGCACGTTTAGGTTTTATACACCCTGCTTCTACGAAATCGTCAATGAATTCAATAAGTTCGAGCAAACTGGCTTCGCCAACGTTGCAATGTTCGGAAAAGGATGATGAAAGTGTGTCCAAATCCACAACAGTATCAGAGACCACAATAAAAACCAAGGACATAGATCTAACTGAAAAATTGGGTTAAATCGAAACTTACAGCTTGTTGCTAAAAGAGGAAGTAAAAGTATTTTATCTAATATATAATGCTACTAAATATGCATTTTATTGACAATTGTAAATAGTATCTTTTTATGTAAGCTGAGCTGCATTAAATTGAGCGTTTTACTTGCTTGCAATAGGTGCAACTGTCATTTTTTAATTTTGTGCAAATCATATTTTTAGGGTTTAACAAAAGTATGTTTGATTCTGTCTGAGATGCTCTATAATTCTAATCTCCTTTCTTTGAAACGAAACTACTTTAATCTTTTTTATCAGTGGTAACATATGTACGTAGTTAGAGCTTAAAAATAACGACTTTATGGCTTATACAAAATTTCGCATGCATACAAATATGAAAAATGTGGGATAGAAGTTTTCAGAATTTATGCAGCGATATGTACGCATGCATTTATGTACAGGTCCATCAAAATACGCTGATATATCGCACTCAATTTTTTTGTTTAGTTACGAGAATAGCCAACATTGCTGAGAAAGCTTCCGGTATTTAAAACAGTAGCATTTGTGATTTGGACACGGAAAGATGTATTATCGTGGCTACGAGGTCGCGATTTAAAACTATATTTTCGCAGCTGCATAATTATTTAGGTTGTCTACCCAATCTGTTCGTAATACCACTTCACAAAAGGAGTTTATTGCTCTTAATAGTGTATAGAATTTCAAAAATTATACAGTGATTGGATGAAAAGTGGCTAATACGTATTTTTAGTTTTGAAAATATTGTTAAAAATATACACAAATAAGTGACGTAACACTTTGCCTGTACAGGGAGCTTTCGGCAGTGGGCAAATGGTCATCGTATATGCACATACATATGTACATATGTGATTATGTATAAATGAATGCAAATTTCTTAAGGAGAGAGGGGTTTGAGATCGTCGCGAACTTTTCACTCGCGTTTCTGGGTCCACATAAACATATGCTTGTTTATTTTTACACTGGATTGTTTATAAACAAATGGAATTCACGTGCATGACCGTATCAGCAAACAACAAATAAATCCACTACGAATTTATGTCAACAATCAATTGATATAGTTAACAAATCCTTGAACACTTGGCTAATTCTCAGGCATGTCTAAAAAATGTAGCGTTCGCTCATTGAGCGATAGCGCTTTAGCCGAGTTAGCCAACCAGATTGTCTCGACGATCGGTTATGCCAAGTATGCACCTGACGTTGTACTCGACATTAATATCGTGATGGTGGACATCAATCAATATCTCGAGCAGACCGGCGCTACCTGGAACATATACCAAGACCTGCTGCGTGTCATACTCAGCTCTGATTACTTGGACGCTAATATGCGCTTCACTTGCATGCAAATGCTGCTCAACGGCAGCGTCGCATTCTTGGTAACTGAAGTCTTTCCCTTTTCGTATTATGAAAAAATCCTGCAAGTCATTGCCGCACAAGGTACCGGTCTGCGTGTGCTCAATTTGAAAGGAGTTTGGGTGAAGGAGGAGCATATGCACTACCTTTTTGAAATCGTGCGCAAATGTAAACACCTGACCAAGTTATTTGTACCTTACATCGCCAACGATGATCTTCTCGAGGTAATTGGCAAGAACTGTCGGCAACTGCAAGTGTTGGACATATCCGGTGAGACAGACATAACCGAAATCGGTGTGGAGTTTCTCAGCCACGGGATGTGCAATGAAAAGTTAACGGTTGTGGATATTGGTATGCCTGGCGAGGAGAACATTTGCTACTCAGATATTGCCCTTATATTGGAACATTGTCCCAATGTGGAGACACTCTCCACATATTCATTCGTAGGCGCCTCGCTGAAATTCGTATATGACAACATTGACGAGGAATTTCAGTGCAAGCTACGCTACTTACACGATACTGGCACCGACGAGGAGACGCTTAGTGTGATTGTAAAAACTTGCCCACACTTGGAATCACTCTATTTGGACACACCCAAACCTGGTGCGCTTCCAGTACTCAGTAATAGATTTTTGCGAAAGTTGAAAATCTACAAATTTTCCTGCGCGGAAGTAATGGAAGTGCTCGATAATATCGGTCGGAATCTTAGCCATCTGACCATGATTAAGGGTGTTGGCCACTTGGAAATAAGTAAATTAGCGCGCATTTGTCCGATGTTGATTGACTTAGACTGTTACATGATGGATGGGCTCTCATACACAAAGGACATCAACCGTTTTGAATGTTTGGAAGGCTTAGAAATGCTCAGCAGCCCCATGTCGAATGCCTCATTGAAGATGCTTATATGCAGCTGTAGACAGCTGAAACGTCTGGCGGTGGATAGTATTAGCTTCACAGACGAGGATATTGTAAAGTAAGTGAAAACAAAAATAGAAAAGCTTATAATTTTGAGACGACCAAGTTTAGGAAATATTAGTTATATGGTTGAAGGCACTTAGATCCCTGCAAACCCTGTAGAGTTGTACATCGTTACCGTAATATAGAAAGGCCCCTATGCTGTAATCCGAATGTTCGTAGCTACGAATTCGTCGCTCCGTTCCGAAAACTCGGAAATTGGTATGCTGTAATCCGATCGCAACTAACAGCGGTACTGCCAGCCGGCACTGCACCGTTGAATTCGAAGTTCTTAATCATGATTCAATAATACAAGGTTCGATAAACTGACAGTTGTCTCTCTCGCACCGCTCCCTTAGCAGTGGCACCGTGTTGCTTCTTTGCAAATTTACATGGAAACAGTGTAGCTTTGGTGTGAAATAAAAGTATAAGCTTTTGTGCAATGTTTACTTGTATATGAATATGAAGCATATTTAACTGATGAAAACATAAGCCTTGGATGTTTACATCGATCTCATAGTAGTCTTATTTTAATTTTGAGTCATTTTGCAGTTTTTATACAGCTAAATAGCATATAAATTAAGTAAATCACGTAGATATATCAATATTACGTTCAACATTTCGTTTAAAATGCCAGATTTCCTGCAAATACATTAGAATTTACAAAAGGAATTTCACTACTAATTGCCTACTTTGCGTACTTTTCTACTACCATTTTCGCAACAAGGGATTGCATTCTTGCCCTTTCTCTGTCCTTCGTAAATGCAACCTTTTGTAAGGGAGTGTCAAACCGCAGCTGTCAATAATTATCTAACCTTGTATTATTGAATCATGGTTCTTAATCAGCTGCTTTGACAAAAAGCAATAAAAAAATTGTAGTACAATTACATTAACTAAAAATACAAGATCACGCGGGCAGGAGAGTAGCCCGTTAGAATCGCATTTAGGAAAAAAGTTTAACGATTTTGACAATAGCCATTTGTTTACATTTCTTCATTGTTTACAATTTGGTGGTGGCTTTCCACGTTGTCGAAAAAAAGTTGAATGGCTAAAAATATCAAAATATGAAAAAATATCAAAATATTCGCCACCATAAGGTGTTTGCATTGTTCAACTTTGCATTCAACTTTTGGTTGAATGGCCTTTCAACTAATCGCTTTCAACAAAGTTGGTCGCCAGCCAACATTTAGCCATTCAACTTTTTTTTCGTGCAACCCTGCGTTGAGTTGAACGCAATTGTTGAACGCAAAGTTGAATAATGCAAACACTGCTTTAGACAAAAAATTAAACCTTTGAAAGGTTCCCACAAAACGTTACGGCTACAAAGCATTGCTTGAACTTTGTAAAAATATATCCCCTCTTTAGATTTNGTTTCTACAATCAAAAAAAAAGAAAGCAAGCGAGAGCTCGCATATCGCTCGGTATGCGAGAAAAAGCATGCTTCGTACTTTTTGCGGTCTACACGTGCGGTTTCTCGCATGCGTCGTCACGCTAGCGAGATTTTCCAGCACGTGAAGACGGCCGGTAACAATACAGTGGCTAGCTGCGTTTCAGTGATCGCTTATCGAGATTTCATTTATTATTTTACATTTGGATAAAAAAAAGTTAAGCAAATTCAACATCGATGTGGTGCAGATAGAAATCTCGACCAATTTGTGATCAACTCTGTTTCCCTGCAAAAATCGTTGGACCATGTAGTCTATTTGTGGTAAATTGGAGTACTTACAAAAGTGTTCCTCTGTCATGCTGTATCGGACCAACTCGTGTCTCTGCGCCAGCTTATTGTTTGTTATCCGATCACTGCTCATGTTTTAACGAAATGTCATTGAAGTTGATCATTTGAAAGCACATTTGCATGTCTGGCTGTAGCTGAACGTGTAGAGATGCTCGCTGTTAGTTCTTAGCTCCCAGCATGTTCGGGTTCGAATGCCATCAGAGGCAACATGTAATTTTTAATTTTTGGCTTGGTTTTTATTAATTTTGAAAACGCATTTGAGAAGTGAAGAACAAAAGGGTGTACAAACCAAAAAATATAACAACAATGCCGTTGTTAATATGTTGGAGTAGTTTTGTGCTACTCTGGTGTAATGCAGGGATGGAGTATATGGTCCTGCCCTAGGACATCGCAATGTTAATTGGACCATTTTTTTATATGAATTGTGGTTAATTTTGGAGTACTCCTTGATCCTTAGGGAGTACTCTTGCATGCATGCATGGAGTAGTCGCGATTTTTGCAGGGTTTTGTTTCCTAATTAAGTGAGAAAATTTTAATTGACAGCGCCGACAAATGAATATATACATAAACAAATGTTCGGTTATGGTTAAAACAATTCAAGTTTTTGTATTGAATTTTTGGTTTAAAATTTATTTTTTCCTTTTCAGTAAGGCTTTTGCACATTATCTTCTGCGTGAGAATTGATCGTGATAGATACGGATCTAAATAAGCAACTGGAACACGGCTGGTATCGATACTATGGAAAATGTCCGAGACTATCGACAGTACTATCAATAGTTTTGATTATAAAAGTCCAAAAATTAAACATAACTATTATTGAAAATGAGATCAGAATTGCTAAAATACAACTATATTTTTGTTAAGGAACAAAAGTTTATTCACACGATCCGCGCTCTGAAATATGTAAATTACTGAATTATGTATATACATGAGTGATAATTTTCGATAGTGGTTACAAAACTGATCGATAGTGCCGTCGATAATTTTCCAGCTCAAGAACAATTTATTTAATGCACCTGCACCTTTAGGCCGGAATGCAACCCTTGTAACCTTCAAAAGGGAATAAAACAAAACAAATATTTTTGTGAAGTTATCAAAGTTTGCAAACACCGGACGATAACATTTGCTTACTTTAAATTTTCAGCCATAACACAATGGAGGAACTTCGAAAATCGGATATTCCATGTTCGTAGATTATATATAATTGTTTTGTAATTTGGCCAATTGCTGTTTTGCCTTTTTTATACAGTTGAGGCTTTTAGCGGCCATGAGCCTTCAAAGCACGTAAAGGTGCCTCAGGATATAGCTAAATGGCAACGTTCGGAAGCTTACTATGATCTGATGGGCTTTATAAACGCTGTTAGTTGCGCAATTCAAGGAAAACGTATTAATGATCCCAGCATTTATGTATCGCCCATAATGAAAAATTTAGTTGCTATTTTTGACAAACTCAATAAGCTAGTTGATGAGTCGCCTCCAGTTGATCAGCCTACACGTTTTGGAAACAAGGGCTTTCGTGTGTGGGCCAGTAAAATGCATCGCGTAAGTTTTACAGTCATTGCTGTATTTTGGATAAAAATAATTTTAACATTTTCGTTTCAGGATATATTTTTATACTTGAAGGAAGCACTGCCACAGGAAAAGTGTGATCTATTCACTGAACTGGGATCCTATCTAAGCGAATCATTCGGCAATTCCGTGCGGATTGATTACGGTACAGGGCATGAATTGTCGTTTATATTCTTTCTCTGTGCACTATTCAAGGCTGAATTATTGACGGAAGAAGACAGCGTAGCTTGCGTATTACGTTTGTTCAATACCTATTTAATTTTTGTGCGCCGCCTACAAAAGGAATACCACTTAGAACCAGCTGGCAGTCAAGGTGTTTGGTCACTGGATGATTTTCAATTTGTGCCATTCATTTGGGGCAGCGCTCAATTAGCATGTAAGTTGTTTCAAAGCAATATGAAGAGGTAAATAATTGAATATCAAATTTTTTGCAGTCAATAGCCCATTTGAACCGGTGCGCTTCTTAGACGATGATATTATCAACGAGTACAAAGACGAATATTTGTTTATTGGTTGTATCGATTATATCAACCAAGTAAAAACGGGACATTTTGCAGAGCACTCAAATCAGTTGTGGAGTATTTCGGCAGTACCAACATGGTCGAAAATAAACAGCGGATTGATTAAGATGTACCAGAAGGAGGTATGCATTTAGTTAGATATGTACCCATGTACAGATGTGTATTAAAACATAACCGCCAAAACATACTATATATTTTTATTTTCCTATAGATATTGTCTAAATATCCCATAATGCAGCATGCACTATTTGGTAAATTGCTCCGTTTTGAACCTGTAAAACCCGGTACGACTTTGCCTGTAGCACGTTTAGGTTTTATACACCCTGCTTCTACGAAATCGTCAATGAATTCAATAAGTTCGAGCAAACTGGCTTCGCCAACGTTGCAATGTTCGGAAAAGGATGATGAAAGTGTGTCCAAATCCACAACAGTATCAGAGACCACAATAAAAACCAAGGACATAGATCTAACTGAAAAATTGGGTTAAATCGAAACTTACAGCTTGTTGCTAAAAGAGGAAGTAAAAGTATTTTATCTAATATATAATGCTACTAAATATGCATTTTATTGACAATTGTAAATAGTATCTTTTTATGTAAGCTGAGCTGCATTAAATTGAGCGTTTTACTTGCTTGCAATAGGTGCAACTGTCATTTTTTAATTTTGTGCAAATCATATTTTTAGGGTTTAACAAAAGTATGTTTGATTCTGTCTGAGATGCTCTATAATTCTAATCTCCTTTCTTTGAAACGAAACTACTTTAATCTTTTTTATCAGTGGTAACATATGTACGTAGTTAGAGCTTAAAAATAACGACTTTATGGCTTATACAAAATTTCGCATGCATACAAATATGAAAAATGTGGGATAGAAGTTTTCAGAATTTATGCAGCGATATGTACGCATGCATTTATGTACAGGTCCATCAAAATACGCTGATATATCGCACTCAATTTTTTTGTTTAGTTACGAGAATAGCCAACATTGCTGAGAAAGCTTCCGGTATTTAAAACAGTAGCATTTGTGATTTGGACACGGAAAGATGTATTATCGTGGCTACGAGGTCGCGATTTAAAACTATATTTTCGCAGCTGCATAATTATTTAGGTTGTCTACCCAATCTGTTCGTAATACCACTTCACAAAAGGAGTTTATTGCTCTTAATAGTGTATAGAATTTCAAAAATTATACAGTGATTGGATGAAAAGTGGCTAATACGTATTTTTAGTTTTGAAAATATTGTTAAAAATATACACAAATAAGTGACGTAACACTTTGCCTGTACAGGGAGCTTTCGGCAGTGGGCAAATGGTCATCGTATATGCACATACATATGTACATATGTGATTATGTATAAATGAATGCAAATTTCTTAAGGAGAGAGGGGTTTGAGATCGTCGCGAACTTTTCACTCGCGTTTCTGGGTCCACATAAACATATGCTTGTTTATTTTTACACTGGATTGTTTATAAACAAATGGAATTCACGTGCATGACCGTATCAGCAAACAACAAATAAATCCACTACGAATTTATGTCAACAATCAATTGATATAGTTAACAAATCCTTGAACACTTGGCTAATTCTCAGGCATGTCTAAAAAATGTAGCGTTCGCTCATTGAGCGATAGCGCTTTAGCCGAGTTAGCCAACCAGATTGTCTCGACGATCGGTTATGCCAAGTATGCACCTGACGTTGTACTCGACATTAATATCGTGATGGTGGACATCAATCAATATCTCGAGCAGACCGGCGCTACCTGGAACATATACCAAGACCTGCTGCGTGTCATACTCAGCTCTGATTACTTGGACGCTAATATGCGCTTCACTTGCATGCAAATGCTGCTCAACGGCAGCGTCGCATTCTTGGTAACTGAAGTCTTTCCCTTTTCGTATTATGAAAAAATCCTGCAAGTCATTGCCGCACAAGGTACCGGTCTGCGTGTGCTCAATTTGAAAGGAGTTTGGGTGAAGGAGGAGCATATGCACTACCTTTTTGAAATCGTGCGCAAATGTAAACACCTGACCAAGTTATTTGTACCTTACATCGCCAACGATGATCTTCTCGAGGTAATTGGCAAGAACTGTCGGCAACTGCAAGTGTTGGACATATCCGGTGAGACAGACATAACCGAAATCGGTGTGGAGTTTCTCAGCCACGGGATGTGCAATGAAAAGTTAACGGTTGTGGATATTGGTATGCCTGGCGAGGAGAACATTTGCTACTCAGATATTGCCCTTATATTGGAACATTGTCCCAATGTGGAGACACTCTCCACATATTCATTCGTAGGCGCCTCGCTGAAATTCGTATATGACAACATTGACGAGGAATTTCAGTGCAAGCTACGCTACTTACACGATACTGGCACCGACGAGGAGACGCTTAGTGTGATTGTAAAAACTTGCCCACACTTGGAATCACTCTATTTGGACACACCCAAACCTGGTGCGCTTCCAGTACTCAGTAATAGATTTTTGCGAAAGTTGAAAATCTACAAATTTTCCTGCGCGGAAGTAATGGATGTGCTCGATAATATCGGTCGGAATCTTAGCCATCTGACCATGATTAAGGGTGTTGGCCACTTGGAAATAAGTAAATTAGCGCGCATTTGTCCGATGTTGATTGACTTAGACTGTTACATGATGGATGGGCTCTCATACACAAAGGACATCAACCGTTTTGAATGTTTGGAAGGCTTAGAAATGCTCAGCAGCCCCATGTCGAATGCCTCATTGAAGATGCTTATATGCAGCTGTAGACAGCTGAAACGTCTGGCGGTGGATAGTATTAGCTTCACAGACGAGGATATTGTAAAGTAAGTGAAAACAAAAATAGAAAAGCTTATAATTTTGAGACGACCAAGTTTAGGAAATATTAGTTATATGGTTGAAGGCACTTAGATCCCTGCAAACCCTGTAGAGTTGTACATCGTTACCGTAATATAGAAAGGCCCCTATGCTGTAATCCGAATGTTCGTAGCTACGAATTCGTCGCTCCGTTCCGAAAACTCGGAAATTGGTATGCTGTAATCCGATCGCAACTAACAGCGGTACTGCCAGCCGGCACTGCACCGTTGAATTCGAAGTTCTTAATCATGATTCAATAATACAAGGTTCGATAAACTGACAGTTGTCTCTCTCGCACCGCTCCCTTAGCAGTGGCACCGTGTTGCTTCTTTGCAAATTTACATGGAAACAGTGTAGCTTTGGTGTGAAATAAAAGTATAAGCTTTTGTGCAATGTTTACTTGTATATGAATATGAAGCATATTTAACTGATGAAAACATAAGCCTTGGATGTTTACATCGATCTCATAGTAGTCTTATTTTAATTTTGAGTCATTTTGCAGTTTTTATACAGCTAAATAGCATATAAATTAAGTAAATCACGTAGATATATCAATATTACGTTCAACATTTCGTTTAAAATGCCAGATTTCCTGCAAATACATTAGAATTTACAAAAGGAATTTCACTACTAATTGCCTACTTTGCGTACTTTTCTACTACCATTTTCGCAACAAGGGATTGCATTCTTGCCCTTTCTCTGTCCTTCGTAAATGCAACCTTTTGTAAGGGAGTGTCAAACCGCAGCTGTCAATAATTATCTAACCTTGTATTATTGAATCATGGTTCTTAATCAGCTGCTTTGACAAAAACCAATAAAAAAATTGTAGTACAATTACATTAACTAAAAATACAAGATCACGCGGGCAGGAGAGTAGCCCGTTAGAATCGCATTTAGGAAAAAAGTTTAACGATTTTGACAATAGCCATTTGTTTACATTTCTTCATTGTTTACAATTTGGTGGTGGCTTTCCACGTTGTCGCCAGAGTTGCCATAAGTGCCAGCGCAGGTATATAAGGGCAAGCTACAAGTAAAGTGAGCAGAGAAGCGAGTTGCGAATAAGCAAGCTTTAAGTTTAATTGTGTGTAACAAGTTCGGTAAAGCGTTGTAATTGCTTTAACAAGTATTGTAGTGTTTTTACTGTATTAGCAAGTATTGTAAATTTGTTTGTTATACAATAAAGTTAATTGTACTACCATTTGGTCATCGTTAGCCTTTATTTAACAATCCAGCGATACGAACCGGAGAATTTGGGAAATCCGGACGAGGGTTCAAGGATAATCGTAACACACGGTGCAGCGAACAAAGGTGGCGCCGTCAGTGGTACCGCTACTTTGGTTTTGCCGATATTGACCACAGTATACCAGTAGAAAAGGTTTTTGTTGTTGTGGCTGTTAATTTGGTCCCCATAAAGGACTTGAGGGTTGCCAGCAACTGTTTTGTCGCATTCAGGGTGCTGTGCAGCAAAATAATGTGGTGAAAAATTTTAAGATCGGATAAATGGCGAGAGAAATATTGTTGTGCGCTTTATAAGTAAATATGACCGTAATAAAATGTTTTATACTTCAATACAACTAATTAGCGCTATTTTTGCAATTCGAAATGATCTTAAAATTATTTGTAGTGAAATATGTACTTTCTGAGTTAAATGGAAACTATCTTATATGTAAAAACATATTCCGATTTACTTCAAATAAATGATGTAAAATGTTTTATATATGGATCTAGTTTTAATAATAATATCTAGTACTTTCGTCTACATTGCTTTTATTGTAAGTTTTCACGAGTAGTTGCAGTTTTCTGCAATTGTCTCTGGCCGACTATACATGCTAAAGCTAAATAATTTCACAATTTCTACCCTATTAAACGTTTATATTTTAATAAA